AAAAAAAAAAATCAGTGGCCAAAAAGCATTCCATTTTTGAGCAGCTCTGGTAGAAAGTTACTTAAAAAGGCCAATTCTAAATTACTCCTCATAGATCCAGAATTGGTTATACTTTATAAACAAAATGTTTACCTTTTTTTGATGCCTTTTCTTCCAGTAAGCTTTCCACTTACCTGTTCTACTTAGGCTAATTTAAAAATGGGTACACAATTTTTTGAGTGCTCATTATCAGCATGGCTAGTACAAAAAGGCTTGGAAACGTGACAGGGCCATAAAGATCTCGCTGCTGCTACTACTATTAGATATTGCTAACTGATACCTCCCCCCACTGCTATAACTACTAACAATAACTAAAACATAATGGGGGGCCATATGTGCCAGCACTAGTTCCTATGATTTTATGGTAAGTTCATTTATTATCCCCTTTTTACAGAGGAAGAAACTGAGGCACAGAGAAGTCACAGAGTTGCCCGAGAGCACAGACGTAGAATTTAAACCCAGGTGCCTTTCCCTAGCACCTACTCTATTAACTACCAGGGCACAGTTGCAACAATGAAAGTTGACAGTAGACATCTCAGTGCCCCTCCCCATGTCTATCACCAGTTAGCAAGCTGGGCTGTTTTATATATTAAATAAACTGTTCAATTAATACAGCCTCAAGCTGTCACCCTGGTAGAGTGCCATGGCATCACAGCTCGCAGCAATCTCCAACTCCTGGGCTCAAGTGATTCTCCTGCCTCCGCATCCCAAGTAGCTGGGACTACAAGCGCCGGCCACAATGCCTGGACATTTTTTGGTTGTAGCTGTCATTGTTTGGCAGGCCCAGGCTGGATTTGAACCCGCCAGCTCAGGTGTATGTGGCTAGTGCCTTAGCCACTTGAGCCACAGGCGCAGAGTCTGTTAAATTATTTCTAACTTCATAATCTTTTTAAGGAAAAAAAAAGCAAAATCTTATGAAAGAACGGAAGTAATTTGATTTGTGTTTTTAAAATGCTACAGTATAGCCAGGAGCGGTGGCTCGCACCTGTAATCCCAGCACTTGGGAGGCTGAGGTGTGTGGACTGCCTGAGCTCACAGGTTTGAGACCAGCCTGAGCCACAGCGAGACCTCATTTCTAAAAATAGCCAGGCATTGTGGTGGGTGCCTGAAGTCCCAACTACTTGGGAAGCTGAGACAGGAGAATCGCTTAAGGCCAGGAGTTTGGAGTTGCTGTGAGCTAGATTATAGTCTGGGTTTCCTGGAACCTACTGATTAACAAGTAAATAAATTGATACATTCAAAATGACACATAAACCAGGTTCTTCTTAAGCAATCACTAAATGGTAGCTATTATTATGACTAAAGAACTAATAAATTAGTGGAGAAGATAGACACATCAATAAATGAAATTCACACTTTTTTAAGTGCAGTAACAGAAATATGTTGGCAGTGTGCACAGCGATTCCTAACAACACAGTTATAGAGAACGTAAGTCCACATTTGACTACTTTTTTCAGTCAAAGAATCTTTCCTGAGCTTTATCAATGCCTTACTGGAGGCAAATAATGGATCTTTTCTCGTTCAACTATTTCTCATTATCGTGACCCTTCATACAACAAAGGGGACACAGGTATCTCTCTTTTAGATAAATACGAAGGGTACCTTTTTGTTTGCTTAATAGAGAAATAAAATTTAATAGAAAATAATACCTTTATCAAGTGTATAGTCTCCTTGAAGCCCATAAAGCATGTGTGTATGGAAAATAATACACTTGAGTAAATACAATGCTTGTTTTTAAATTAAATATTGAGTTTCTTATTTTAGATAGATGCCTTATGCAGAAGGTTTATATTTAGCCTGTGGCAAAGTCTCTGGCAACCTCAGAAAAAATACCAGTGTGTGGCTACATGGCCATACAATCTGCTCAATCGTGCAATCTTTATACAAAAAAGGTCACACTGCTATCAAAGGCATTCTGCCTGCCTTTGGTCTGGAGTATCAAATCTCAAGAGTCAAAATAAAATTATGGAAACTGGAAACAAGGCCTGATAGCCAACAGCTAAGAAAAGGCTCCTTATTCAGAAAGTTAGTTATTAATATAAGTCTGAAAAGAAGGGCAGCCACTGAACTTGGTTTTCCATGGAATGTCAAATTCTTCCAATTAGCTTTGGTGTTTTATAAACACTGCATTCTTTTATATCAATCCTTGATATTTATTTAGCATAAATATTAAGAGGCAAGGAGATTTTAATCTTGATACTTTTTTAAAGGAAATTTTCAGGGATAAATTAATGTATCCGACAGGTTGTATTGGTGGTTGCTAGGAGGGGTCTCCCGCCAGGTATTTTAAGCTCCTTTTCAGCTGGC